CCCCGACTAAGAAATTAAAATATTTCGTATATAAATATTTAACAATACAACCAAATAGCCAATGAAAATTAATTTTTGAATATATAGAAAATATTTTTCGTTACATATTTGCTTTATTTCTGCTTTCTGATATACTTACTGATTTCATCTGAACGTTATTACACGTTAAACGACACTTACAATCTTGGTAAAATGGCCCCGTCCACAAATTTCTGACTGGGACGATATGGTATCGAAAAGCTGCCGCCACAGGCGACGAATAACAAAAGTCAAACAAAGTTATGAGAACAAAGATGATGATGCAATGCCCGCGAAAAATGGCAATGGCCCGCGAACGAACACCGGGCACGGGGCGCCTGCCGGCCGGCCTGCGTCTACGACGTAGGTTAGGTTTCTCCGTGTTGTTATTTGTACGAGCGCTACCAGTGCTACCATTGCGTTGCGTTATTTAGGTTTCTCCGTGTTGTTATTTGACCAGTGCTACCACTGCGTTGCGTTATTTTTCATAACGCAACGCTTTTGCGTGAGGTTAGGAAAATAACTCAGCGGCTTGAGTTATTGGCTATTTACCGCACGCAAAAGCGTTGCAGTATAGGGCACGTTACGTGCACGCGTGAGGAAAAAAATTATTAAGAGCAACTACACTTGTTCATTTATTATTTATTTATTTATTTTTGTTTATTTTTTTATTTTGTTATTTTTATTTTACTTATGTTTCGGCTTTAGTGACATCCGTTGGATTTAATTTTAGTGTATAAGTTTCCTGCAACTCTTCATCACGCAATTTAATTTCCATGTAATCCATTTTGAAAGCTAATTACTATTGCGATTATTAATTTCAAAGGTCAGCCAATAATTTTTTTCACTCCAGTATTCACTACCGCTGTTCATGGAGCATTCGACGCTACGCTATCAACACACTACCTCTTTGGCGATAGCATTTGTAGCGCGAGTCATGACGTCAAACACTACCAACAATAACGTCACGATAGCGTTTCATAGTGCTATCAGTTAGCTCCCTGAACAGCGGTAGCGCTATGTAGCACTGGTAATGAGCTCCCTGAACGCACCCATTATAAGCAAAGTACCCGTTGTTGCTTGAATTGTGTTAGAATAAACGATTTTCAAAATAAGTACTGCCTACGCGTTTCGTTTCGAAGCAGTGTTCTCATTCAAAAGGGCCAAAAATCCGCTGCCAAATACATAAGAAAATCAAGGTCGTTCATTCATAAATGGGTGCAACGTTATTTAGAGACAAAAACCGTGGACAATTTACCGAAACGTGGCACGACATGAACTTATACCGACAAAGATGGAAAAACAGTCGTACGCCTGTTTCAAAGCAATAGCACGTTGTCTTTTCGTCAAGGACAGACAAAATTACAACGAAAAAGTTTAAGAATGTCGTGTGAAACAATATGAGGTTATTTCCATGCTTATGATATAAACATGTCGTACAATCCAAAAATCATTATTATCGGAAAAACACATCAGCGCGCGACTAGCTGAGGCATACGAAAAGAAAGATCGCAACTGGAATAATGTGATTTTTACAGACGAATCTTCTTTTTGGGCACATTGTGCGGTGAAACGATCTTGGTCTACTGCCACCAATAGACTAGTTCAATGAACTGTTAAACACGCGGTAAAGGTGCATGTTTGGGGCTGCTTCTCAGAGTAAGGATTTGGTCGACTTTATCTCTTTACTGACAACCTGAATGCTGAGAAAATGTTAAAAATATACTAAAAAGCCGACGATTGTTCGGGGGGACGACGTATATTAGTTAATTATTAATTTAATTTAATTCGCGATAATACCGCAGTAGTTTATATGTAAGCGATTAAAAGATCCAAGCTAGACCATTATAGGCTTCGTATTTGTATTAGTTATATACCAAAAAGCTTTGATTCCGTCTGTCCAACGCTGATTTATTAATAAAGATAAAGATTGGTTACTCTAGAAAGATAATGACCCCAAACACCAAAGCCAGCTCTGCACGTCCTGGAAAGAGGGAAATGACATTGAGACACTCCACTGGCCTTCACAATCACCCGATGCGAATCCTATTGAAAATGTGTGGTCACTCATCAAGAGGAAGCTTCGTGGAAGACCGACATCAACTTCGAAGAGCTTAAAAAACGAAATTCGACGAATCTGGAAGTCTTTACCTCGTGAATATGCGATTTATTTAGTGAAAAGTATGTAGAGGGTTTGGTGAATAACAAAATTAATTACACAGAATTAATGAAAAACTGTGAATAAAATGTATTTCAGAGCTACACAAAATAATCTCTATGCTCTCAACAAACGTCTAAGAACGAGTGCCTTCTTGCTTGTCCGGCGCCCGCCGCCTCGGCCCAGTGTTGCCAAAATCAGCGAAAAATGTCTCCCTCTTACGGCCAAACAGTGCATTGCTTGCTTCTAATCTAGAGAGTTCTGATTCATCCATCCAACATATCCATAATATAA